GCCGCCGCCGCGAGGCTTCCGTCTCGCTTGTTCGCGCAGCGGCGGCAGCAGAGGTCGCGCACAGATGCGGGTTAGGCTGGCGGGGGGAGGAGGCGGAGGAGGGAAGGAAGCTGCATGCATGAGACCCACAGGTAAGACCGAGAGCCCCGGAAGGGGCTTTCCATCCCCGGGCGGCGCGCTCAGGCCGGGGACCGCGAGTTGGAGCTCGGTCCTGCTCTCCAAGGGGGGAATTTTTTGACAGCGCAGAGAGATCTCATAGGGGACTGGGCAAAGGACCCATCCCGATCCCGGGGAAAAACAGTGAAGTAGCTAGGGGGATCGGTGCCACATTGTCGGATTCCTAAGAGTGAAACGTGTAGGCCCAGGCAAAAGTGCTTTTATCGGCCCCGAGATGCTGGGAGGCTTTAGACTTTCCTGTTATGGCAACAGCCTCTGGATCCGGGGACCGGCGCAGAGCGTTGTGCGCTAACCGCTGCCCTCCCTCCCCTCCTCCATCGCTCCTGCACGCGCAGCATCCCGCGGCGGCTGTTACTCCGTGTACACCGTGCTAGGGGGAAGCGGGGGCATCTCACTGTGGGAAAGGGGGCGGGAGCCGCGCGGGGAGCAATGGAGGTGCTACGGGGGAAGCCGAGGTTCCCGGTCCTAGGGCGGAGGAGGGGGAGCGTGGCCCCCGAGCCCCCTGGCAGCCTGGAGTATTGTCGTGTTGGTTCCTGGTTGCAGACTCTAGCAAGCCGGATGCCCTCTGTGGATGAAAGATGTATCATGGAATGAACCCGAGCAATGGAGATGGATTTTTAGAGCAGCAACAACAGCAGCAGCCTCAATCCCCCCAGAGACTCTTGGCGGTGATCCTGTGGTTTCAGCTGGCGCTGTGCTTTGGCCCTGCACAGCTCACGGGCGGTGAGTGACCCCGCCGTGGCCCGAGGACCCAGGGAGGTTGGGAGGGTAGCCAGGCTGGTGGGTAGCCCTGCCACTCCCCCCTACAGTCAGACTTCCGAGGTACCTGAGAACCGGAGGCGTGGAACCTAAAACTACCTTTCCTCAAAACCCCTGGAGTTCCCAGAAAATTCCTCTGTGGAACCCGCACAGATTCACACACCCACGTTCTGTCTGGAGCTTCCCACCAGCCTCCCAGCCTGGCTTCCCTAAAGAAAAGACAATAAAGCCTGGTCCCTTATTCTCACTCTGGCCAAGAGAGATATCATTTTTTAAAGAAGTGTATTTGTGGTTAAGGTGCGTTTGTGGACCGTTGACCCTTGTCTGTGCCCTCAGCAGAGGGCTCAGGTTTCAGTCCCTGAATGGAGGCATGCATTGTGAATGTGTCGGGTCTGAAACAGGACCAGACTGGCAGGTTTACCTGAAAGTTAACTTTGTCTGGGAGGTGGTGTGTGCAGGCATGTCTGCTAGAAGGGCAGGAAGGAAGAGGTTTTCCTTCAGGGGTGTTTTGGAAGATGGTTTGACTTCTCAGAGATCTGGTTTTTAGGGGGAATAAACTCCAGTGCTTGTCAAAGATGCTGAATTAAGACTGACGGCCTCAGTGCCCACAGGCTATCTATATTGTGTTTGCCTGGGGAGGCGGAGGGGGGTGCTATCCTTTGCTGGTGGTAGAGGCAGGCAGATGGGGCTCCTGCCTGAATCTCCGAATCTGTCTTCACTGTTCACTGCTGTCCAGTTCCCATGGTCTGTGAGCACTTGCGGATGTGGGAAAATTACAAGGACTGAGTCCTGTTTTCAGAGCTCACATACTTTAAACATATAAGTGAATGAGAACTGGTCGAAAAACAGGTACCAGTAGCCGCAGAAGCACCATTCTAGTGTTTTTGAATGTTGCTGTCTCAGGGAATTTGAGGCAAAGATAGAAAAAAGAGAGGGAAAATAAATCAGCGAAATGAAGGAGGGGAATAACAGGTTGGGCTTAATACAGCATCATGCTAACTTGGATCTTTCACTGAGAGATCTGGAAGATACTTGGCAGATAAAAGCACTTTCTGTGATGTGTGTGTCGGTGAGAATGAGTGAGTAAACAGAAGGGGATCTGGCTGCAGTTTGTTTTCTTCATAAGGGTTAACTTTTTGGGTGCTCTTATTTTCATAAGAAATAAACATTTCAAAGATACATCAAAGGCACGTTTCCTTTTTAAAAAGGACAAGGTCAAAAGCCATGCCAAGCCAGCTCCAGCGTGGCCTCTGGCTGGCCCTGGACATTAGGTTTGCTTCCTGGTGAGCGGCATAGTGGACGGAAGCACGGAGCAGGGCTGGCTCATGCCTTGTCCTCTTTCTTCTCTTGCTTCCGGTTCTAGCTGTCGTTCCTCAGACCAGGTCCACGTGATTCTCCATCCTCTCTGCCCCTCTCGTCCCTGTGGATGACAGATTAATCGGATTCAGCCGCGTACGTCTGATTGTTGTTGTAGGCTGTGTACACTGGACTCTGCCTTCTCCTCAAAGATGTCAGAGCCCAGTGCGGCACAGCCCCGCCGTGTCACAATGGTCAGCCATATACTTGCAGGGTGCGTCTTCCTCACTCTCTGTCTTCCTGGAGAAGATGCCAAATAAAAAGATCCAGAGCCCTGAAGAAGAGGGTGAGGGCTGACTGTCTCTGCTCGATTTCAGAGCTGCTGCTAGGTATCAGAAGCTGCAAAAGGCTCGCCATCAGCCTTGTTTCCTCTTCTTCTCCTTTGGGCTGAGAATGTGATTTCTAGAAGAATGTGTATCATCTCAGAATTCTGTGGAGAACCAGTTTGGGTGGAGCAGAGTGGAGAGGGATGTTCTGTGGAGTCTACAGAAATTTCTTTCTTAGGAAAAAAACACAGATGCTCCAGGATGGTTAGGAAATTCACCTTAATTCTAGACCTGTGCTTCTAAAACTTTAACGTGCCTGCAAATCACCTGGGGTCCTTCTGCAACGTAGATTGTGTTCCTTTGGTCTGGGCAGGGCCTGACCGCCTGCATTTCCCACAAGCTCCCCGCTGTGATGCGGTGGGGGCTGGTGCTAGGACCACACTTTGATGAGTAATGCTTTGGACTGAGCCATTCCTTAAAATAAGTTGGTTGTGACTCCTGACTCTGTTATCACTCTCAATTACCATATGCAAATGGCCCATTGGAGAGCGAAAGGCTGACCCAGAATCTAATCTGTAGGTGACACATCGAGCAGAAAATCAGCCCTCAGAGAGTGCTTCCCCTCCTTTTTATCCACAAAAAGGAGCATACTTAATAGACACTGTTCTGAAATGAGAATTTTCATTTTTGATTGCTTTCAATGGAAATGGAGCACGGCACTACAGGACAGAATAGTCTCGGCTAGGGGAAAAAAGAGTGTGCCCAATACAGGCATACTGAAAAAGCCTGAACTTGAAAGGGAGAAACTCAGAAAATGATCACTGTGGAGAAAAGGGGGAAATGAACTCCATGTCACCCCATCAACAGTGACATGTTTTGTCCCGGGGAGCCAGGCATTCACATCAGTTCTTGGAGACTTAGAGAGCTGTCACGGGCCTGTGTGACTCTAGGTGCCTCTTGCCGGTTGTCTTTCTTAAGTTAGGGGGACAGGTCCTCAGTTGGGGCCATTAACACCATATATGCTGAGAGGACTAGTGGCAGGTTTATCGGGAGCCCCAGGACCCCACTGTTCCCAGAATCTGCATGGACTGCAGCTTCAGTGGCTGCTCCCCTCCATCCCACGCCCCAGAAAGCTCCTGGAGTGTCCCCGGGCTTCGAGAAGGAGCCCCAAGACTTTATAAGTCGGCCCTTGAAGGTGAAGTCATAAGCACATCTCGTGTTATTGCAACACATGCTCAGCTCTTGGCTGCTTTGGGCCTCGGGTCTTAGGTGTCCTCCTCCATAATACCAGGCTGATGCCACCTCACTGGGTTGGTGTGAAAGAGGTAAATCAAGAAGGGGCAAAACAGACACAGGTTGTTGGTAGTGAGAAGGGCTAAGCCAGTGCCCTTCCAGGCCTTTTGCTTTTCCAGTCAGTGACTACTGATTGCCTGTTCCTAGTCTGTAAAATGTTCTTTTCTTCCTAGAAGAACCCTTCCTTCCTCTCTCTCTCTCTCTCTTTTTTAAAGATTTATTTATTTATGCACACAGAATTGGGGTACAGGCCAGAGGTGTAGGGGTGGTAAGAGGCTTCACCAGAGACAGAGTGGGGAGCAGAACAGGCAGATGGACGAAGTACACTGCTGAGGGGAGCAGCGGGCGGGTCAGGAGAGGTCTGCCACACCATGTGGTCACCTCTGGGGCGGGGATAGAACTCATGAGGAAGTGGCTTTAGCTTCTTAGTGCTGCGCCACCAGGGAGGGCCCAGGCCCACCCCCCCCTGTCAACAAGCTTCTTTTTTATTTTTTTAAGATAGTTTCAGATATAGATATAACAATGGTTAAATTTTACCTAATACATACCATGTCAGATCACATTTTTATTTTATTTTATTTTATTTTAAGATTTATTTATTTCTGCATACAGAACTGGGTATAGGCCAGAGGTGTGGTGGGTGAGAGGCTTCACCAGAGACAGAGTGGGGAGCAGAACAGGCAGATTGACAAAGTACATTGCTGAGGGAAGAAGTGGGCAGGTCAGGAGAGGTCTGCCACACCATGTGGATCAGCCCCAAGGCTGGGGATCAAACCCACACTGAAGCAGATGTGGCCAGCTTACAGTGTTGCATCCTAACCAGGAAGAGCCTAACTACAAATTTCTCTTTAAGGCTCAACGTAAAATGCCTTTCACATTCCTTGTCTCTATGGCTCCCCGCACATGGTCTCCACTGGACCTAGTGTCTTAGCGCTGTCTCATCTGCTAAGCTGTGAGTCCCTTGCAGGCAAGAACCTTGACTTTATTTTCATGTCCCACAGAACCTGACACCCAGTGATGCTCAGCTAATGCTGGTTGATGGCAAGTTACTGCCACATCATTTAGAAAATAATTATCACTGGTGAGTTACCCAAGTGCAAGGGCTTCATGGCAGTGGGGGCTGTATCTGTTGGAAAGTGGAGGAGCTGGAAGTGGTCTTGGTGGCTGGAGGAGAAGTCAGGAAACATCCTAAGAAGAGGTGACATTAAGGCTGGGATCTGAGGAGGGGGAGCGGTTAGGGAACCCCAGAGGTCGAGGCACCTGTGCAGAGGTGTGGAGGTGATTCATGGGTGGACTATTCAGGGAGTAGAGCATGGCTGAGTTAATCTAGAACATAGAGTGTCTGGAGGGAAGCCGCGGGGCGGCAGGGTAAATACTGGGACCCTATGATACAGGCCCTTGGACACGCTGGTGAGGATTCTGAACGTCACTCAGCAGGTGGTGGAGAATCTACTAGAAGGGTTTAGAGCAGGAACCTAGTGTGGCTTGCTGAAGGGAACCAGGTATTTCCTATCGCCCCTCTATTGACATCATTGTCTTATTGATGGAAAGTGCTCATTTGCTTATAAGAATGATGTGGTGGATGTGTTTTAATTTCTTGAGGCAGAGAGAGGCTGGAGAGGAAGAAATTCCCATAAATAGCACAAAGGACACATTTTCTTGCTACTGTCACCACCTGGCTAAGTGATAGTAGCCTAGTTGCTCTCTCAGTTTCATTATCTGAAATGGGGGCAATATTTGGATTATCTGCCTCCCATGGTTTTTGTGAAAATGAGATGCCTTAACAGAAGGAAGTATCAATTACTCTTTGAGGTAACCTCATCACTAACTAGTCGTGAATGCTGGTTACAACTGCTGTGCAGGGATTCGCCCTGCCAAGGCATATTCCTTTGTCCTGAAAGCTAGCCAATGCCCTATCCTACCAGAGCCGGTGTGTGCTGTGGAGATCACTAGGTATTTGCTGACCCTGTCCCCAGGAATCCCAGATAACTCATGGTCACAGCATGGTATGGTGCTTCCTGCAGTGGGGGTTTATCCTGGGGGACTCTG